TATATATATATAATTAATAATATAAATTTGATTGGTTAATTCAATGGAGCCAATGGAACCAATGGATACTATCCATTCACTCCATTGGCTCCATTGGCTAATTTTCCCAATGGAGCTTTTCCATTGCCAACCCTGCCATGGGCCTACCCGGCCCGTGCGGAGGCCTAGTTGTTATTAAAGATCATTTAATCAGTATCTAATCAGAACATGATGGTTAGAGTAGAATCTCATTTTACATAGAAACAATTTTTTTACTAGCGATCTAATTGTCCAATGGTCAGACAATATGGTTACACGATTTTGATTGGTTAATATTATAAAAACAGTCATTATGCTCCATTTTGTTGGTGTTGATTTTTCCTTCGGACTTAAATGGTTTCCATTTACCTAGTATGTACAATACAGATAATTTAGTGATATCAGGGTTGAAGTTTGTCTTATTGATTAGTAAGAAGTCTGATTGGCTACACGTAAAATTAAATGTAACTTCACACTATTTTATAATTTCTATTAGTTTTGTAAAACTGAAATTTACATTTATTGTATAACTTTCTCACGTGAAATTTCGAAGCTTTGTGTTTTATTATTTACTTAGTTTTAAAAGTAAAAAAAGAAAAAAATCCAATAGTTTTATATTAGAACTATTCATTTTTTCGCACAAAATACACTATATTTAAAATATCAAATTTTAATTTAATTAATATCATTTACCATTTAAGAATCTATTAAAAAAATCCATGTAATTTAATGACGGGTCTGACATAGGAATGGTAAATATAAATTTATATATATTGTATATAGCGATAGCTTACATTAAATACGTTGATCAAAATGACTTGATTTGTGTTGAGATAAAGAGATGATCGAAACAAATATTCTACATTCTAATCAAATTAATTATACTGTATATATAATTGGTATTTAACATAGCATTTTCCATATCTATTACCTAACAGCTTCAATTCACGCGTGCAATATGAATTATTTAATATGTCATATTTGTTTCTAAAATAACATTTATATAAGTATTTATGAAATAGGAAAGGTTTTGCCTGTATTAGTTTTTTTTTTTACTGATTAATGTCTATTCTTATTTGTTATGAGACTTTAGTTGAAATAGCATATGTCATTCATTAGGGGGTTTCAGAATTAACTTTTTTTCAAAATAAGTGAGAGTTTAAAAGGTCCTTTTTTCTTTTTTAAAATTCCGATCAGAAAATTAAATAGGCATAGCCGGTGATAAAATTTAGCTTTTTTTTGGTAAACATTCATCGGTAAACGATTATGTAAATATAAGTACATACTTTGAAAAAAATAGAATCTGTAAGTTGCTTATTTTTGAAATAAATACGGCACTTATTTTATCTGAAATCGGACGCCGAATCATTAATTCTGAAACCCCCTATTATAAGAATTCAAGGCTATAATAGTTTATTGTTTGCCTCTGCAGCAAACAACATATTAAAGATCCAATTTTTATCAGTAGAGACTACTTCGGGAAGTTAAAGCAAACTCAACCAACTATTCATAACATTGTCATTATAAAAAAATTTTGGAAAAATAAATTGATAGATTCGAATTTGGACGATGTCAACTTACATTCGAAACGGAGTATACGTAATACCAAGCGATCAAAAAAAAAAGCCATATGTAAGCATGACGAAGATCCATATGGGTTGTTGCACAGCAAAACCATGCTTATAACATATAAAATGTATATACTCTAAGCGTGGTTTTGCTATGCAACAACCCATATAATGATATTAACGTTCAATGAAATAGTTTTGTTCAACCTTATTCTAATTTTTTTTTAAACTCAAAATCGCGCTAACTAAATATTTTAATCTACTTTGGATTCTCAATAGTCAATAACTATATTCAGTGACGAAGATTCCTCCAATTATTTCTGAAGGTTTGTAACCTCTTACTGAAATTAGTAATTCACCTTTCCAAATACTTGATTAAAATCGACGTGAAACTTTTTAAGGCAAGTCAATAAAAATGAATGTTTTTGCACCACTTACGAGTATGACGATTTTAGGAATGCTTATGAGATGTGTGATCTTTATCGTTATGTAAATTTGAGTAACTTAATTAAATGATTGACAAAAACCTGAAATTTTATATAATAAAATTTCGATTAATTACTATATGATTGCATGACGGTTTTAATCAGTGAAAAACAAATTTCCAGCAATGCTTGTTGTCTCTTCAATATATCAGGAAAATAAGCATTTTTAGAAGCTTATTTTTACTAATTAAAGTGGTAATTATAAGTCGCTAAACCACTATTATGCGATACAAAATGAAGAATAACCCTACGTGATGTCGGCTAAATGAGAACTGATTCTCGGTGAAATGAGCAGCAATAAAAGATATGCGCGGTAACATGTAACCTGAAGCATCTTTTGATCATATTTGAAAGAAAACTATTTAAAAGGCATAACTTAAGAGTGGTTGATTACGATAGCGTTGCAAACAAAATTACGTAATATTAATAGTCACAAGGAAATAACTATCGATACATAATAATTTTTTTTTAATTCACATGCAATAAATATAAGCTATAGTATGTGATTAATCATACGTAACTAGGTTACGACACTTATGTGCGAGGAAGGGGCTCCTTCAGGCTTTCAACTAACCAGGATTTGTCTCTTACTTCCACCGTTGCGGGCATAATCTACCTACCCTGGATATATGTTTATCCATATATCCAACCTCCACGAGGGGTGGAAAAGTTCACAGTTTATTAAAACCTTACCTATTTTAGTTAACCTTCCTCTTTAGTCTTAAAACAATATCTATATTAAAGACCTATCTTATATTGTTGTTGTTCTCATTTCATATACCTAATGTGGGGGGATTGGAAATTCCGATTTATAATAACGATAAGAATGGGTCTTAAAAATTCCGGAAATTTGTGAATCCCCTACGACATACGTCATTCTACAATTTTTTGTTTATATATTATCGTTTATTAGGATTAAGTATAGATTATTGGCGTTGGTATAATTTTTATAAAATAGGTAGTTTACATACAACTCTATCATACGTACTATCGCTATACTGTATTTCGTTATATAAGATCAGTTACATAATTTCCAACGAAAACCGGTTTATATACATAAAGCAACATATATAACTTCATTTATATTTTGTATATAAGTGACAAGTGTTTTTTTTTCGCTTCTACAAAATAAAGGAATTACTCGAATTACCTTTAAAATGGAATTGAAACATGAATTAATTACTCTTCCAAATGGGAAAACCGTTAAAGGTATTACCATGGTTGAGAAATATCAATTTATAGAGTGGCATCCATAATATACGTAAATCAGTATTGTTAAAGATAATACGAAAAATAATACCATATGGCATTACCTCCAAGGCCCCTATAATTATACTATAAAGTGCTGGTTTTAACGTATATTATGTCGTTAGCTCAATGCATAAATTATGTGAAAAATTTTTTATGTTAGGATTATTATATATTATGAGCTTTATACAGTATAATTGACTAATATTGGGTATATATACCTTAAATTTTATTAATATTCTTATTTATCAATTAATTTTTTTTTTTCAAACCAGTTGAAACGGGCCTTTTTATCAAGAACACATTTGTCGAATCCGTAGACAAAAAACGGTTCGAAACTATTAATCCAACAACCGAAAAAGTAATAACAACTGTAGCAGAAGCATCTTCAAAAGATGTTGATTTGGCGGTTAAAGCTGCTACTGAAGCCTTTTATAATGTTTGGAAACTTGTTGATGGGAAAGAACGTGGTAGATTATTAAACAAACTTGCTGATTTGATAGAACGAGATTTAGAGGAATTAGCAACTTTGGAGTCATTAGATAATGGGCAAACTCTTTCTACTGCTAAATTTATCGATGTTGGACAAAGTATTGATTGTTATAGGTATTTCGCTGGGTGGGCTGATAAAATTCACGGAAAGGTAAATATTTTTATCATTTATTCTCATTTATTACTATAAAAATTAATAATGATTATTAGGTTATCGAGCCGGATTCTACTAAATTTACTTATACTCGTCACGAGCCAATTGGTGTTTGTGCTGCAATAATTCCGTGGAATTTCCCTATATTGATGCAAGCTTGGAAAATGGCACCTGCTTTAGCGTGTGGTAAATCTGTCTCATTTATTTATTTTTTTTCAATTTATTATTACTTTTTTTGTGTATTTAAATATTATTACGGTTTTCATTTATGTTTATGTTTAAATAGGTAACACTATAATTATAAAGCCTTCCGAAATGACACCATTGGGTGCCCTTAAAATCGCCGCGCTATGCAAAGAAGCGGGATTTCCGGAAGGAGTTGTTAATGTCTTGAACGGACCTGGTCCTATAACTGGAGATGCAATTGCTAAACATATGAAAATTGATAAAATCACTTTTACTGGTAATTTTATAATTTCTTATTTTTCCGTTCTCTTGTACAATAATAAGATTATTAAAATTTTCACGTTCACCAATATTATCCTAAAGGATCAAACGCAACAGGAAAATCGCTATTAAAAGCTGCAAGTGAAAGTAACTTGAAACAGGTATCTCTAGAATTGGGGGGAAAATCACCAAACATAATTTTTGCAGATTCAAACCTTGACCAAGCAGTTAAATGGGCTCATATGGGAATATTCTTTAATCACGGACAATGTTGTACTGCTGGGTCTCGTGTTTATGTTCAAGATAGTATTTATGATGAATTTTTAACAAGATTTAAAGTTTTTACTGAATCAAATAAAGTTGGAGACCCCTTTGAAGCAGATACTTATCAAGGGCCACAGGTTTCTCAAATGCAATTTGACAGGTACAGTATAATACACTAGTGGTACTAATGATTCAAATTTAAACGTTATTCGATATTATTTAGGGGATTATTTAAACCCCATGTAATCTAAATTTCTTTAGACGAGTATATCCCGACGACAACCACTCGATTAAATCAAATTTGATGAAATTTTTTTTAATTATTAGAATAAAAATAAGGGGAATTTACAAATAAGGGCCTGAAAAGTGAAAATAATTACGGATAAGGGCCCAGATTAAAAATAATTACATATAAGGGCCTGATTTTTAAAAATATTACATATAGGGGCCTAAAATAAAAGTGCAACGCACGAAACTTATTCAAGTCTTTGGCTTGATCGTCATTAATAAGTTTACATTATCAGGCGCATAAGAAATGTAATCATTGATAAATGTAATAATAGATTGTAAATTAGTAATCATAAATCATAAATAAGAAGTGTCTTTGACTTCGTAAATACAATAAATTTCATTTATTTATAAAATTGCTTATCGTTATAACAAACCATGTCAAGTACAACACTAAAACTTGGAATGATATTTACCGATATGAAAAGTGTTCGCTCAGCTCTAGGGAGTTATTCTGCTGAAACATTTTCACCTTACAAGTTCAGGACTAATAAACTCAACAACTATTTGTTGTTTGTCCCACGAACGAAGGCAGCGAATGCCCATTTACTGTTTCTGCTAACAAACGTAAAGTTTTATTCATATCATAAGGCTAATTAATCACGATCAAAATTGTCCAACTTTTTCGGAAACGTTCAAAGCCTAATGCAAAATTATGCTAATTTGAACATCATCTTTTATATAGTATTTAAACGAAAGTTATTATAAACATATAGTGCTTATTTATCTATATATAATATAATAAATCGGCACGGTAATCTCGTGATCACGTTTTTTCAACTATTGATATTTTGGGCCCCTATATGTAATATTTTTCAAAAATCAGGCCTTTATATGTAATTATTTTTAATTTGGGCCCTTATCCGTAATTATTTTCACTTTTCAGGCCCTTATTTGTAAATTCCCCTAAAATTCCATCAAAATTTGAATAGGTAGCTGTCGAGATATCTTTGTTCAAAATTTTAAAAAGAATAAAAATTCGATGATATTTTAATTCTATTTATTCATAGAATTCAAATAATAATTTTTTATGGAATTAATCTAGGTGGCTATTGAGGTATCTTTTAAACGAAAATATCTTGATACCATCCAGTTAGATAATTCTTTATTTTATTATTTTTAATTCTATATTCTATATATTCTATATATTCATAGAATTAAATATTATATAGTTATTGCATACGAAGTATGCAATAACTGCTGTATTTTATGGACGATGATGATTGGTTGATAACCCAGCCGGTACGGCTGGTTTACCGAACGATCGGAAGAGAACATAAAATACAGCAGTTAGTGCATACGGAGCATGCAATAACGGTTTTATTTTATGCTTTACTATCTCAGATTTATGAAATAGTTCAATTATTTTATCATTTTAAAATACCATAAAATAATTGATTTATTTTATAAACTGATCATAGTAAAGTATTAAATAAATATATATATTTTATCGATATATTAGTTTACAAAAAATTTTTCACGTACCCAATTGCTTAGTGGTTTTTGTAACCCGTAAAATAATAATCCCCTATTATTAATAGATTTTTTTGATTACGTTTCGGAATAATTCAAATAAATGATAAACATCTTAGTAGCAACTGGGTGGATTTCTGTAGAGAATGGCACTAAAGGTTATAATTTTTTTTTAATATTATGACTTGCGATAGAATTATGAAATATATTGAATGCGGAAAGAAAGAAGGGGCGACGTTAGTTACGGGCGGAGAGAGACATGGTGATCAAGGATATTTTATTAAACCAACGATTTTTACAGACGTTGTGAGCACAAATATTCATAATGACTCGATAATTTCAAATTTTTTTTTAAATTATTATTAACGTTATAAAATTTAGAATGAAAAGATGACCATAATGCAAGAAGAAATTTTCGGTCCAGTGGTAGCGATTTCCAAGTTTTCGACCGTGGAAGAAGTGATTGAAAAAGCTCATTTAACGAAATTCGGATTGGCAGCTGCTATATTTACTAATGATCTCACTAAAGCTATTAAGTTATCCAATGAATTAAGAGCTGGAACCATTTGGGGTATGTTAATCTTTTTAGTAAATAAATTTCTTTACAACGGCTAAATATTTTTCTAAAAAAAACTATATATACGTATTATTAGTTAATTGTTACAATCTTGTTAATTCAAGATTGTAAGTACGAGTTTTTATTATATTAAATAATTGTCTTCTATATAACCATAATCTTTTGCTAACATCAATTTTTCGTATTCACTATTTTTAATTTCATATGAAGACCTTTTGGAGGATATAAAGAATCTGGTATGGGACGTGATCTTTCAAAGTATGCTTTAGATCAGTATACTCAAGTTAAGACTGTTCAAATTAATTTGGAATAATCATGCGATAAGTAAATGAGAAAGAATGTTCTGAGATGTTTTTTTGTCGGAAACTATGAAATGCACCTATGACCCAGCACCATATATATATATATATATATATATAATACATATATATCTGATATATATATAATACATATATATCTGATATATATATATTTATTTATTTATTAAAATTTTTGCCGGTAAAATTTAGAGTTAAAGTTAGATATCGGAATTGGTTTAAGAGAAGTTTTTGGATTTAAGTACGTACCAAGTATTGACAATTTTAAGATATAACATACGGTTACATTTTAGTAAACTCATTCTATTAAAAAATCAGATCGATAATAAATTGTACTTCTGTTAACTTATTTTTAATTATACCCCAACGCTAATGTTGGATTAAATTTATTTCCTTGGCAGCAAAAAAAAATATCTTATTTTCTTTTTTAACAGATAGTGCATTGCTGTTTACTCGGGACGCCCAACGCCCGAGATTGCCATCTGCAACTTGCGCCTAAAGTTACACAGACTAGGCCAAGACAAACTCCTTAAATTAGATCTTCTTGCATGCATTAAGTTGTAATTTCGGACAGATGATAACAGACACGATAAATATATTAGGCATGATTTTTTACTATCTAAAAGTGTTAAGATCAATTAAATATGTATGATGTTAATATATAATATTATTAAATGTCACAGAACTCAAAAATTTTACATGATTTTCCAAAATTTTCACTAACGTTAATCTGTCACATTAAAATTGGTATAAAAGATTAGAACTGAAAACTTTAAAAATCAAATGCTATAAATAATTCTAATGTTTAATAATTAGCACTCAATATAGCAAGAAGAAGCTCACGATATATATACTAAATTTAAAAGTAATGCTTATTGATTATTTCCATATATGCTTATCGATATCATTACGTAACTATTTTTAAAATTGACAATTACTTCTCTCAATATGGTGAATTCATTTAATTCATTTAATTCATTCAAGTTATTAATAAAAATTTTTTTTTAAAACTTCATCGTTTCAGAGTTTATCGTATACAGTATCTATAAGCAGAGAATTTTAGACGGATTCGGTTTCATTACGTCACGAGTTCAAATAATTGTTACGAGTTAGACAAATCTAGATTATTAAACTTTAATTTTATAAAAACTTTACTATTAATAATCTTCACAAAATGAAAAAAATACATCCATATATATTATATATAGCACCTAAAATATATGTAATAACAGGTATGTAAATTCATTTTTCGAAACTTTACTAACTGTGGTTACGTAATATTGATATATATATATATATTACTGTATTAAAAAAAAATAAAACCAAAATTGAAATTAATTTGTACTTTGAAATTCAATTATTGATGATTATTGATGTATATAGTTACACTAAAAGAAACCAATCTCGGGCATGAAATTTTGAAATTTGAAATATTAACAATTTTTTTCACAGAATTGATTACGTAATAAAAAGTCCAACATTTATTATTGAATTAGTATTAACAATAATATTATATAATTATAATTAAATAATTAATTATTAGAATAAATTTCATTCATGTACTGTACTGTATATACAGTATATTCAAATTGCTCTGTTTTAGAAAATCAAGGCACAATTTATTTATCATTTAAAATTTTAATTGCTTTTTAAATTTAAGTATACCCTTTTTTTTTGGAGTGAAACACAAGAAGTTGACATTGTAACCATCCAAAATTCCTAAGGAATCCTGAGTCATTCAAGTTCTTCATTTCGGGATATGGACGAATTAGTAGATCGTGTTTGACATTGTGCCTGTATCACAATTTTATTTAGTAACTAGTAATGGGTAATAACAACTTTTTAATATTTAATTTCTATTAAATTTCTATTGTGAATCAAAACTGATTCCCGAAAAGGATTTTCTATTGACGTCAAAAATTTTGATTTAGTTAGTAGTATCGCCTATTGTTCAAGTAATAAATTAGTAAATTAGTAAGTTTATTCAGATGATCAAGACTTATTTCACAAGAAATGGACTAAAATAAATTGTGCTCAATATAGAACCTATAAGATAATAATCAAGTCAACTGCATGCGGTTTCACAGATTATACACAATTCTTTTTTAATTCAGATTTTTTTAACCGAACAAAAAAAGAATGTTAAATAAGTCAAATGATGTAACTGTATTAGGGAACTAAAACTTTATAAGGAAATTTGGATGGTTTATCACTTAAATGTTTGCATAAACCATAAATTTTGTGCTTTTAAAAATTTTTAAAACCGTAAAACAATATGATGAAGTTGGTTAAAAATTATAAAAAATTGGTATCAAAATTTCTATACACGTGGATAGATTAAAAATGGTCATTCGTTTCACAAAACCAGTTAAACACAATGTAGTGATACCAAATCGAACGAATCAATTTAGCAGGGGGTGAAAACTTAAATGTTTCACTGCTTTTCGATCGAATTTGTCACTTATCATGGTTTTTTTAAAAAGGTCGAAATCATCGTTCGGGCAATGATCGAAAGAATTCGGTAAAATCGTGTGACATTTAATTATTCTAAAAGTTCCGTACTACTTTTAACATGAAACAAGTAAAATTATATAAACATATCAATTTAGGGAATGGCGTTTCCCCCCGAGTGAACTTTTTTTTCACTTGTCTTTATTCATTTTTTTGAATTTACGCTTATTTTATAAAAACATAAAAAAAAAATTTTAAAGATAGCAACGTTAAAAATTTCTTAAATTATCGCTGCAAACAAAGTAAAAAAAAAACACATACGCACACTTAATACTTTGTATTTTGGTTCCACGAATACTGCAAATCTAAAAAAAAAAAGTTTTTTTTTTTTATTTAATTATAAATTTTTCGAAGAAGTAATCGTGAATAATCATATATATATTTAATCATTTCTTATTGATGAATGTTACCCATTTCATCTTAATTCAATTATTTTAATTCAACTGTTTAATAGACTTATTGAATTCATTTTTTTTCAAAAGCTTTTGTAATAATAATAATAATTTCTTAAACAATGTCTAGAGTGGACTCTGGTGCATTTTGCGAAATATGTATAAAATGTAAAGAAAGGTTACCACATAATCAATGGTGTCAACAATGTGAGAGTGCAAGCTTTAAAGAAGCTTCTAAATCATGGACTAGTGGTAGTCATGACTTGGATAAATTTATAAAAAAAACGCAATTGAAGGCTGCCGGTCACGCTGATTATTTAGAATGGATTCCTTATGAAAGGATCACTGATATTACATTTATCGCGTACGGCGCTTACGGTAGCGTTTCTTGTGGTACTTGGGTAGATGGTCCGAGATGGAATTGGAATGATGATTCAAAAAGTTGGGAAAGAACTGGTCCAAAAGAAGTTGCGCTTAAAACAATTAATAACTCCCATAATATTTCTCCAACTTTCTTTAACGAGGTTAGTATATATTATTATTATTATTATTATTATTATTATTATTATTATTATTATTATTATTATTATTATTATTATTATTATT